CCAGATAACATGGTTCTGAGTGATAGATGGGGGACCTTTAAGCTGGGATGGTGTGTGGCCAAATCCTGGCACACACAGCAGGGCTTATGTAGAACGGGGTCAATGTAGTGATGGCATTGGGCAGAGGCAGCACAGGGCTCAATCTGGGCACGTGGGACCAGAGGAGCACAGAGTCTCATACAGGTGTACAGGGCTGGGGTGGCACAGGGCTCAACCCTGGGTACTAACCCCACAAGGAACCTGGCTCAGAGACTAGTCTTGTGCTACTCATCTGTCCTGCAGGGCCAAAAGGTTGAGAATTGCTGTATTAGGACATAAACATTAGATACCCAAGTATAATCTGCATAATTTATGCACTACAGTAATATGGACATATATTTTTCTTTTATAATTCTGCATTTAATAGGATACATGCAAGTAAAATGCAAATACAGTCATAAAATTTAACTTTGCAAAGTACCATGAAAGAATGTAATATGTACAGAAAATGTGTAAAGAGTAATTTTTTTTTTTTTTACAGATTGGGCCTTTTACATTCTTAGCAATCTTGCAGTTACTCTGCTCGAGGAAGTCCCACTTACTATACTGGGATTCGGCTTGCAAGACCAAATTTTGTAGCTGTATATTTCAAAAGGTTATCTCAGCTATTGTTCTACCTACTTCTAAGCACACTTTTAAAGTCATGTAACAAATCAGGAAATCCTAAACAACAGACAATGAACTACATCCTACTACCTTTCAATATGTGAAACACTCACTGAAGTCACAAGTTATTTTGTGAGCAAATCAATGGAAGAACACAGCATCATAATAAATTTTGCTGCTATAAAGAATTGTGAAAGAACTGGAGACTAGACCTGCTCTGTTACTATTTACAAATACTGTATATAAACCTAGTTATTAGTGTGTATATTGTATTAACATATGGATTTAGTTGATAAAGAGACCATAAGGAAAACAAGCATGAAGTAACCAAAATGGTTTAAGATAAGCCACTTCTCTACAGACTCTCAATATGCCTGAAGAAGGGTGTTTGTGCCTGAAAGCTTGCAAAGAATAAATTTTCCCAACTATTTAGTTGGTCTAATAAAAAAATATCACATTTACCCGAATAACCTTGTCTGCCTATGTCCTTAGATCACCATGGCTACAACCAACAACCCACTTCTCTACAAGCACTTGATAACAGCTAAAAGAAAATTTCATAATATAAAAAGGTCTAGAAAGTTTGAAAAGAGAGACAGGAAATGAGACAGAGACAGTGGGATCTGACTGGGGCATCTGAAGAGGATGGACCTACCTACAAAACAGTCACAGAGTGTCCGTCTCCAAATGCTTTGTTTTAACTGTTCAAACAAACAGCCATGAGACTTTGGCTTCAAGAACAGTGTTTGGTCCCTGAATGCCAACAATAGGAGTCTGAAAGGGAAAAAACACAGATGTCCGAACACAGTTGGGTGGACATGGTTGATACTCATGGTATTATAGCCTAAGACCCAGTCTACGATTGTGAGGTCTGCTGCATTCTGTCCCAAGGCAGTTGAAGGCATAGAGCCTGACACCACAGTGTGCACTCATAAAGGCAACAAGGGAACAGACTAACAGCTAATTCTGTAACCACAAGACCTGTATTGATTTGTGGGCCAAACTCTGCCTGCCTCACATATAAATAAACTTTAAAAACTGGCAATACAAAAAGGTGAACATTTTGGTTTTAAACCCTAATATTCTTATAAAAACTATATATATATAGGGAAGAAGAAATATACAATCCTGAACTCAGATATTGATAGATTTTTTAAAATCTGTTTACTTTAAAAACCTATTAATTTGTCACATTGATACTACGCATTTGTATTAGAAGCAGATCTTGCCTCCACGTATTCTTCCAGGAGCAGAGGACCTCTCCAGTGAAACTAGTTCTGTTCTGTTAGATGAGCTGTTGTCTGAAATGGCAGAGGACCAGTTGCAGGAGAGCACCTTACATCCTGTTCGGCAGGATAAAACTGCATATTTTGAAGGTGGGACCCAGAAGAGGCTCCCTTAGGCAGGAAACGGAAATAGCAGTTGTAGAGAGTGGGAAAAACCTGTCAGCAAGATTCCCCCACCCTTGACAGATTTATTTATTTAAGTATCAGTGTGATAAATTAATACGTTTTTAAAGTAAACAGATTTTTAAAAAATCTATCAATATCCGAGTTCAGGATTGTATATTTCTTTTGGGGCAGATAACATAATTACAAACATCAAAAGTAACACACAGCTATGTTCCTCCTTGAGTTTTAAGGGATTTGAAACAATCAACTTTTGTAGAGAAAATTTTGAACCTTGAATTGCTGCCCTTGGCTGGTCTGAAAGACAGCAAATAACTTCTAAGTACTCAGTGGGATTTTAAGGGCACTTTCTATTATAAAAAAGTAAGGACTAAAATATCTATCTATCAATATATAGAACTGATATTTTTTGCCCCCATACTGTGAAGCTATACTATACTGTACTGGGAAAGACCTAATAGAGCCTTCACTGTTCTGAAATGTTCTCTCTTCTAAATCACAGATATTCTAGGTGAGAGAAAAGAAAGATAATGGTGAAGAGAGGGAAAAAATCTCTTAACCAAAGACGAAAATCACTTAGAAAAAATGCCTCAGGAGCCAAGTATTCATCCATTCTGTTTTCTCAGTTCTAATTGCTCCATCAAATGCTACCCTCAGCCGTGGCAGTAGGCATAAGTCCTGCCCAATCAATGGAAGCATAATGTATCCGAATTTGGTCTAGTCTGTCATAAACATCAGATGTATATGGACTGAGTACTTCTTTGAAGTAAAGTGATTTTCTCTGGGAATTCACAATGTATTTTTTTTTAATAATTAGACCTTGTTTCTTTTAGCACATATTTAGGACATGAATGTGGGCTTCATATTAACTAGAACATATTAGTACAAAATTATGAAATATTGTCAGATGACTAAGGATAGGATTTCCTTTTGAAATATTTTTCAACTCAAGTAATTTAAAAGTTTATTAAAAGCAGTCTTATATCCAGTTTAAAAAGCTAGAATTAGGATTTAAATATAAATTTCCAAATATTCAGATCAATACTTAGAAAGTAAGTACAAATCACAAAATTGCTATATGACTCTGGGTGCATCTACAAGAGATGCTTACTGCACAGCCTAATAACACTGCGCAGTAGTGTGCCAGTCAAAAACCGTGCTAATATGCTACTGCACAGTGTTATTAGGATACTGCTCAGTACGTGTCACAAAAAATCAGGCACCAGTGCTACTCCGCAATAACTGTACTTACTGCCATTTAGTTAGCACTTCATTAAGCAAGTACTAAACTAAATGTGTAATAACTGCTGTGCATTAATGAACATGAAGACATACCTACTACCTCCAAATTTAGATCCACTTCATTAGTTCAATGTATTGAGTGTTTGTGTTGAACAGTTTATATCATGCATAGCTCAATATATTTTTTATATTAAACTGTGTGTAATATGTTATCTGAGAAACAGTTAACTTTTTTAGCTTTTGGGGTTTTTAATCACAGACTGGGAAAAAATTGTGAACTCAAAAAAAAACCATACAGAAGTTCAGACAAATCACAACGGTTTGTTACAAAATGTAAGTGTTTTGTTTTGACTTTGCCATTTTTTTAACTATAAATTATCTTTGGAAACAAACTCTTTTTGAGCTGAAAACCAGAACACTTGATTGAAAATTCCTAACCAGCTTTAGCATACTCCATATCTTACAGTTTGACACACATAACATCAGTATTCATGGCTTTTTAAAATAGTCCTTTTGAGTTCTTATCACTGTGATTATTTCCTGCTCACTGGGCACATCTACACGACACTACATCGCTGTACCAACATGCTACAGTAACGTAGCATCGGTGGTCACAAACTGTGATGCCATATCCATGCTGGCGTAGCAATGCACTCCCTCATTATAGTGCATTGCTATGGCGACGTAGCAACTAAAAACAACAGTACAGGCTGTTACTGCACCGTCAGGAAGTACTAAATGACGGTGTAGTAACAAAGGCACCGTAAGGACATGTGTAGATTTGCCCGCTGTAACGAAAGCCACAATAATATTGTTACAGGGAGTGAGCACACCTTCATAAACAGAGAGCGCCTTTTTTAGATTTGTTCCTATGAGGTTGATAGTCAAGATCCATTTTCTACTGCTCTCCTAGTTTGCACCCTGGTGACATCTGTGGATTTTAGTGCATTTTTCCCCTTCTTCAGTGTGAGTTCAATTAATTTTTGAAGCAGTGTTTTTACTTGGAGTCTTGTAGCAGAAACTCAAAACTTAGTGATGTAAGCAGAAAATAGAAATGCCATAGCCACTGAAGAGAAGACATGCGGCATTGCTTACTTAAAGCCCCATCCTGTCCCCCCAAGGACAATAGCTGCTACCAGGATGGCACCAGCGATGGAACCTATTATAAGATTGGTGGCACTAGGACCTGTGATAAAGGATTATGGGAAGAAAGACGTAAGAACCAACCACTTCATTCACAATAAGGGAAATGTAGTCAATCAGTTTAGGAAAACAAATACCCTGCAGCAGGTCTCTAAACATTTTCAAAGGGCCCAACTTACTTTTCTTTAACTGTAGGTATAAATAAAGCTATTGTAATGTTTTTTACTATCCTATGGATCTTTATCAATCCCAGATTTTTATCTCTCTCAAAGTTTAACAAACCTGACATTTACTCTATTCTGTGGCTTAACTATTCCATTCAGTATGCAGTACATGAGTCATCAGTTCAGGTTAGTAAAGGGTTTGTAAACTCAGAAAGAAAATTCTTTAAATTTTTTTTAGAATTTTGATTCAAATGGTAATAAAACATGAATGTAATAATAAATGCTTACATAATTCGTTCCTATGGCAAATGAAAACAAATCAAAACCCATCAATTCTGTTTGCTAATAAATCTTAATACTACAAGTTACTAGATACCCTCATACCCCTTTTACTTCAATCAGAGCTGAATATGTTCAGCACCTCTTATCTTACACAGTATTTTGCAACATCAGGTCTATAGGTTTGAAATTACTGTATGGTTTAAGTTTACTGACTATAAACTGGCAGAAATGGGAAGGAAGTAAACTTTAAATTAAAAATAGTAAAGATCTGAAGGTGAAATAAAGGCTGCATTCCCACTGAAGCATTCCAAACATCAAAGCACCTCTTCATCATCCTCAAGCAGCCACTGAACAACAAGTGGGGCAGGAAAAAAGACAAGAAAGAGGTGACAAAATACATTTGTGTAATTTTCTGAAAAGGGCAAGACAACACTTGAGGATCAATTAAGAATATCTTATTTAAGTGCTCTATTTGCATGGGGAGTGGGAGGGAAGGAAAATACAAAATAGGATTGACGTGTGCGTGTGTGACCAAATTAATTGCTCACCATGAAGTTCTCCATTACCAGACACACACTGATGTAAAGCTAAGTCTAAGGGAAGATTGAATTTAACACAACAATGTTTTTTTCACATCACATATCCTATAATCATGCAGAAACATTTGAATGCCCATGAAGAGCCTTTTTAAAATTACTTTTAATAGCGGGTTCCAAGAAAGTATTCAGCTACTGTAATGCTAATTTGGTTATTTTAAATAAAATATCTCTGTTTCTGGTGTTTGAAGGTGTTTGGAATACTGTCAGAGTGATACGCAAGGTAGAAAAAAGGATTATCTAAAATACTGGAGAAAGAACGGAGTACAGGCAACTAACATAGCTGAAAGAATTAAAGGACTACTTCAGCATCACAGATACCTTCTCCCTAGCTCCAGAAACATCAGTGAGAAAGTACATCCTAGATCTGAAAAATGATTCCAGTGATCTATATTTGTATAGTACATTACATATGTTACTTGTTTTTTATGGGGTTGATTTTAGACATCTGGTCAGACTGAATAAAACCAAGCTTTCAACTTTTATTTGCAACATACAATACAAAGAATGAATTGTTCTATATATAGCATATGAGTTACTAATTCACGTCAGCGCACAATTTAGGGATTATACAGTATACATACCCTGCTGTAGATCATTAATGACTT